AATGGAAGCTAAAAAGAAAGACGAAGAAGAACAGCTCCGCAAGGCAATGGAAGCTAAAAAGAAAGACGAAGAAGAACAGCTCCACAAGGCAATGGAAGCTAAAAAGAAAGACGAAGAAGAACATCTCCGCAAGGCAATTGAAGACAAAAAGAAAGACGAAGAAGAAAAGCTCTGCAAGGCAATTGAAGCTAAAAAGAAAGACGAAGAAGAAAAGCTCTGCAAGGCAATTGAAGCTAAAAAGAAAGACAAAGAAGAACAGCTCCGCAAGGCAATTGAAGCCAAAAAGAAAGACGAAGAAGAAAAGCTCCGCAAGGAAATTGAAGTTAAGAGGCTACAAATAAAAATTACTAATGCTGATGTATCATCAGAACTGGTAATTGTACACAGTAAATTCATGTTTGTTTGTCAAAAGAGGCAAACATAAACAATAATCATAAAAGTAACTACTGCTACTTCCATGTTATTAATTGATTTGTTACTTTTTAATAGATGTGTTCAGAGGACTTATCTTCAATGCAAGAGCAAGGAGGTAATAGTATGGATTATAATGTGTTTCAAAATTATTAAATCAATCCCCTGAAATCCTAAACCCATACAATAAATTATTACCATATGAAAAAATTCAAGAAAAAAAAGCAATTCATGAATTGTTTATTATCAAGTTGTATAGGATAATTTCAAATCCAATGACTTGTGCAGAAAAATTTTTTAAATTTAAAAATCAAAATGACAATTGAAGTTATCTTTGAAAATTTAGTTTCAAAGTTTCCACCTTAAAATTTTATACAACATGTACAATACAACACAACACAACACAGATCTGGTATACTAATTGTTTTCATTTTGAGATATTTCCATATTTTATGTTTACTCATTATCTTATTCTGATATTTCTTTGTGTTTCAAGACATTCATGATGGAACTTATGCTACAAAAGAGCGTAAAACTCAACCACTTCAAAGGTATGACTTGTAATTACCACATTAACACAACATAATTATCTTCCAAAACCTGTTGGCTCAGTAACATGACGGCAGTGTAATATATATTTTTTGATCATACAGACATTGATTAGTAATTTCTACTTATTTGCACACAACTAAACTTGTATTTATATAATATTTTTTGCCAAAAGATCCATTAATCCATATGAAGAGTTGAAAAAACTGCAGATTCAGAAAGACCAGAACATGAAAATCTACAAAAAAGAAATGATTGACAACCAAGTGGAAAGAGAAGAACCTGCAAGTTCAGCACCTAATCACCAATTAGCAACAGGACATGGTGGTCAGTTCTCAACTAACACACTAGGTAAAGACAGGACTTAGACAAAAAGTATTCTCTTTAACAGTCATTTGAATGCACACCATGATGAGCACTTTTTTTATAATGCATGTATAAAAGTATAAATTTGCCTTTGACAGAAATGGGACACCCAGTTCAACAAGACACATTAATGGATGGGAGGAAGACAAGTCCTGCAGAGCAAGTCGATGGCACTTTGTCTCCAGAAGAAGTACATGTATGTGAATAGATTTAACCTCCTTCTAAGCACTATAACTTTCCTTTATATCTATATCATGTATGTGAATAGATACTAATCTATTATACCACTGACAAAAATGTTGCAAATTTTATGAAAATGACTTCATTGTTATTTTATCAGTAAAAGACATAATCTGTCTACAGCTCAACTATCCCTATCTTTAGATTAAATATGACAACGAACAATGCAGTGTGACAAAGGAACAACAAGGAAGCATGCAGATTGAAATGTTGGACCAATTGGAGAGAGACAGAGGAAAAGCACCAAATAATCAAGAACTTCAAAGTGTTGAAACCCAACAAATGAACAGTGAGGGTGCAGCAGCACCAAACCACCAGCTTTCAGCAGACGATAGTGGTCAGTTCTCAATGACTACAAGTGGAGGTACAGAAGACAAAATCTTCACTGAAACTTTCTTAAACAGTCATTTTAATGTATATTTCGTCACTGACAGATGAGAAACCTTGGAAAAAGAAACAGCCAAATCAACAGAATTCAGGAGATGGCAAGAAGAATCAAGCAAGCCAAACAGAAGAAACTTCACCATCTCAAAAGGTAACCTTAAATACAATCAATTGTCAAAAATGTAACACCATCAAAGCAATCTCAATTGAGCTGTTCATTATTCACTATAGAAAAGACCACTACCTTTGTGCTGTTGGAGTGACCACGTTTGGCAGTTTTGCAGTGAAACATACTTTGATTTAAGAAAGTTTCACTTCTCATCCAGTTTTTGAGCTCAGGCATAAACTTTCAGAATTAAATGCTAAAGGTTCGCCTGAATGATGTTATGTGACTGTACAATGTATCTTAACAACTCCATAGTGCTATGATTGCCTGATAGCACGACTATGCAGGAGTTCAGACATATAGCATTTTGTTATTCATGTATCATTTAAAAAACTATTTCTTACATTTTAGTGGGAAAAGACTCATGATGGATGAAAATCGTCTCGTCAGAGCCAGGGTGATAAAACCCTGATTCAAAAGACCTTATTGCTTATAAAATAATGCTAACTAACACTATAGGAATAATATCATACAAAATCATGTAGTAAGAGCTGTTTTTATTAGGAGGCCTATTATAAGTTGTTACTTTGCCAAAAAAACCTTTTTTTCATTTTTTCCCATTAACCTAAGAAAATGATAACCATGACATCTAATTCCCAGTTATTTTCAGAATAAGATGGTTCATAACATAAAAAATTGCATACGATATGGCAAACGTGGTGATTCTAGACAACTGTGCAATATCTTATCATAGTAAATCATCATAAAAATTAGAGCAATACCACAACTGGCCTCTAAAATTGCAAAAAACCATCCTTCAGACAACCTATAATAGGTCTCTTATTAACATTTTTTTAATGCAGCTTGTCTGAAAATAGGATTCATAAGCGTTAATCAATATTTCATTCATTTTCTACCATTATGAATACTTTCTTTTTCTTAGAGAAACTAGTTAAAATTGGTACTGTTAAAGACTGCACATGACTCCATTCAAAAAATGTTTTTTGAAAGGGGGGAGCGGGCAGCACTCATAATTATGCACTATATGCACACCCATATAATCTTATGGTATAGCAAAGTTACACCCTACAAATAAACGAAAAAGACGGGCAGTACTGTCTTTGTGTGATTTGCCAGTCAAAAAAAAAAAAAACAAACAAAGAAAAAAACTTACGATTATCAAAGCGCTACTATATTTCGGTCGCCATCTTGATTATTCTTACTGACTGGTCAAGGCAGTCATTTGTAAAATAATTTATAGGTCAGCTACTCTACTGTTTGAAATCTTGAAGAAAATCCAAAAATCACTGCATGTTAAAATACGAGTCAATGTTTAGTTACATAGCATAGATAAAGAATTTGAAAAATACAGCAAGTTTACTTGGGAGGTTCCAGTGTCAATGATGATCTAAGGTCAGGCTGTAATTAGACTAAAGTTCTACAACGCACCTTCGTTTTCCACAAAAAGCTCATATTCAAATATATCTAACACTAATGGTATTGAATGCATTATGTCTTGTAGCACAAATTAAAGAAAAACTTACGAATTGTTTGAGTGAACTTTCACCCCATCTCTGCGTCCCATTTATCGTCCTGCACTTATGAAATCACGTGACTCGTTGCTACACACACAGGACTCCCAAATTGCTAGCCTGCGTAGCGGCCCTCTTGTGGGAGGCTACCAAATTGCGTGTATTACTATAACGATCATGCGCAGAAAGATCAGACGAAACTTACTTTCGTTTGCACCTTCGCTCTTCCTCCTTCATGCATTCGTTTTTTATACATCCATGAGATACACTATATTAAGCAGTGCTCATTACTCTATTTTTCACACTTTTATTTGTCTTTTCAATATAATATTTTATTGCATCTTGACTATAAAAACCGATGAAAACCACTTTTCAAACTAAACGCTCTTAGAGCGTATAATCGAACTGCAAAATATAGCGTTCCCTTATATTTGCTGATCACTGGTTGATACCAGCTAACCTTATGTGTAGCTGATCGGTTTTATCAGGATAAATAAAGTTATTAAACTGTGTGTTGCAGTGAATCGCATGACGCTGATATAATAAAGGGTTATCAATTCTCAAGATCGATCCCTATAAAAATTCAGGATTTAACGGGGTCATGTTTCCCGCCGGTTCTCAGTGTTAAAGTGCTGTTTCCCGCATTCTTCTATTCTTCTGACCCCATGAACAGTTGGAAGCGCACTGACTAGAATTAGTTGATTTTTTTCCTCGCAATTACTGTACAATGCATCTATGAACAAAAAATAAAACAAAAAATGTTTTGCATTACATAATGCTGAACAGGATTAAACCCAATACGTGAAGTCTTTAACACACAGTCACGCCAAGAAACTTTATTTTAAGGAAAACTAGTTTCGTCCCAGAATAGACCTTTTCAATTCCTTAAGTTTACAATTTGTACAATTTTTTTTTTTACAATTTTTTTTTTTTTGGAATTGAAAAGGTCTATTCTGGGACGAAACTAGTTTTCCTTAAAATAAAGTTTCTTGGCGTGACTGTGTGTTAAAGACTTCACGTATTGGGTTTAATCCTGTTCAGCATTATGAAATTGAAAAAGTCTTTAGATGTTCGAATTTTACAAATATCAAACAGATGTTTTGCATTAATTTTTGATATATAACGCGCGCTTTCATTGGCTGATGTCGTGTCCAATAAAATCCAATGAAAGAAATAAAAAACGACCCCGTTCATCCAGTAGTATGGGATATAATATCGTGAACATTTATCGCATTACATAGTGAAGTTGAGATTTAGATGGTTGTGTGAGATTTTGAAAGACTACAAAAGCAGTAAAGGAAACCACGCCTTCCTCTTGATTTCCTCAGCTTGCTTAACTGCTTGAAACCGGTTCATAGGGAGTAGCCATTTATTTCATAGATAGGGTGTGTTTATTCTAAGTGACTCATGTTAAAAAGTAATAAAAAGATGATTTTTTCCATTTTTGTGACTTACCTCATAAAAATAACTCATTGTAGCCGCAACTCATACTACGATTCGTATGGTGGCGGACGCTTTACGAAATCATCGCTGTAACAAAACATTTTTCTCATCTCTTATCAAGTAAGATTAGAATAGATGGTACTCGTTTTTCGAAATTTTAGTTTCGCGCTCTTTTTGACCTCATGCATTTTTTAAGGTCGACTATAGCAAGGCATCGCCAGTCGTACTGCAAGGCAAAAGTTCGTCGCTGGTTCAAACGTCGAGATAATAATAACCGATAATAACAGTGGAAGCAAATTACGTGTTATCGAACATTTTTATGCCTATGATTGCATTTAGTTCGACGTATGAATCAAGGCCGTACCAGATGTATTTGGGTCGAATCGGTACGACGATAGCACAACATGAACGTGAAGTTATTTAATTGTTTCGTCAGGCTTTCGATCTGTGAAGAACTTCTCTCCAGTCTATTTTTACATATGAATTCACCTCAATGGTTTATTAAAGGCAAAGCAATTTATTCTAAACGCTGCAGATACATGACCGTTTTTGTCTTAGAACTGAACAAATAATACGTTTCAAATCTGAAAAAAATTGAAAGAAACTGACTTGGCCTAAACACGATGCAGAGTCGAGTACTTCTTGAACTTTAAACAAAGGATGGTGACATTGTTTATTGGTGAAACATGTCCCGAAAGGCTGTTGGAGAAAACGTTATCAGGAGCATAGCGAGAGAAAGGTTCAGGCACTTTTTTCCCATCCAAAACATCGGGATTTATGGTCGACTTGATGTGTCTCCGTACGCTGAGATAAAGACCACGCGGGCGTCCTCAGTTAAAGGGCGCGGTTTATCCATAACCAGTGACTCTTTGTCCTTCCAGTCAACGTTATTTACCTCTATGTCAGTCAATGTAGCCTGCAACATTAAAAAAAACATGACATTCACTATTGTTTTCAATAATATATTATACACAGCAAAAGATATAAAACTTTTATATTCCTTTGTGACATTTTTGACGAAGGACCGCAGACCTTAACGTTGGCATGTTTTCTATCTTATGCAGTATGTTTATTGTATACAGTATGATTAATTCGTTTATTGGAAACACCGAGATACATCACAACAACCTAACGCTAGTTATCTCTTAACGATATGCAAGGTTTTAGCTGTAATTATAATAATGCTTTTCTAATAATGCTTTTAATCACAGTGTATCCACCACGTGGTTCTTCATCTGTGATGCAACTCACACACTCTAACTCAACATTAAGTGTTTTAGCATACGATACTCCTCACAGCTAGTTTTTGGCTGAGGGAGGAAAACCAGCGTACCTGGAGAAAAACCCTCGGAGCAAGGAAGAGAACCAACCTACAAACTCAAATCACATATAGTCCCGGACCGGGAATCGAACCAGGACCACAGCGGTGATAGACCAGTGTTTTAACCGCTCGGCCATCCTTGTTCCCCGAATTAAAAAGTACATACACTAAACCCGTGAAAATTAGAAGACAAAAAACGTGAAACGAGCCATTTTTGTTGAAGTCCTAGGGGGAGAGACCTGGGAACGAGCCTCCTAACGGCTGCGAGAGGAGACTACGGGGTTCCCGCCCTTATAAGAGTGTGAAAAATAAAGTGAAGTTACAAACCTGTGGAGTTAGACTGACGTTGTAAAAATTGTAACGTGGCTCACTGGTTGGGCGTGGTGCACAACAAAAATAGAATGAGGAATGGGATATTAATAACATTAATTAAAATGCTACAGTACGCATTCCTCAATACCATCATTATCACCAATCTCAACACAAGTATCATCATCATCACTGGTTAACGGTTTGGTATACTGGTTGTTTCCTTTATTTCTATCTTTTATTCTCATCTCATTATTGCCATATTTCATGTGATTAGATGTGCGCATGCGTACGTGTTTTTTCGCCGGTAGAATAACTTCATGGGACAGAATACTTGAGACGTATAAATAACTTTTGAAAATGCAGCCTTCCGAAGATGATTTCATACTGGTAAGTAAATAGCAAGCTAAAAGAAACATCACACCACACTTGCATACTTAACACCAGCACACAAAGAGCGTGTAAAAACCGAATTATTGTGTGGTCTAATTCGCCCTTGAGAGTACTTCAACGATTTCGAATGTGCCAAAGTGATAGTTCTCGTAATGTGCAATCGGCAAATGCAAGATTAAATGTACAAAAATGTACAAGATCAATGGGAGTTTTCCTTATCCAAACTTTCGTTCCGTCAGGGAATGGCAATACAAAAATTGTTATTCAGATGGCGTATCTATTTGGCGTATCCTTGGAGCAAATATTATGAAATCAAATAAACGGGGTCATCGACGTCTAATACGATGGCCAGCCACAAAATATCCGTTTAAGATGATTTTACTGAGTTATGAGATTATCTGCTTAGATTGTAATTGACAGACAAAGCAATTCTTCGCAATTATAAAATGCAAGGTTAAAATATCATGCCGCATGAACAGTGCGCACTGTAGGGTCAATTAAAACAAGTCGTTATCCTTCAATACATTAAGTACACACGCTTAACACCATCAGCTGTTTAACCCTCTATCAAATCATATCAATTTTCGTCTTACTCATTCCTGTTTTTCATTTGTAAGATGGTAATGTACCAAATGTTACAAAAATGGTTACAAATTTCTGTAACATTCATGGAATTTACAAGTTTTTAACAGTAAACATAAAAATTATATCAAATATCATGTTTAGCGCAAGCTTGGTCACGTCCTGATTCTTTTGTGTATAGGAGGATATTTCATATACTGCAAGGTAACTGATATTATACATATTTCAAACTGCCAGATAACATCAACCACTGTTTTACCAACTTGTTTGATGGTATAGAATGTTGTTAGATGAAGCAACATGTTCAATTTTAATTCAATTCACAATTTTTTTTACATTTAATTTATCCTTTCAAGCTGAAGGAATGGATCCTCAAATTCATCGGAGCAACTAAATTTGCAGCTGTACAGGTAAGCCATCAAAATATTACTCACTCACATGGCATTGTGTAAAAATGAAATAGCACAAAATAGTATAATTATTATCCTAGT